TGCAAAAGGTTTGCAATGGTTGTGAAGTTTGTGCTAGGTATCGTGAGAAAGTACCAAGACGAAAGTGGGGACAGCCACCCTTTTCTCTCGTCCCAGGGCACACCGTGTATGCAGATGTTGTGGGACCAGTTGTGACCGGTTTAGGTAACTTTAAATATTTGCATTGTATGGTAGACAGTGCTACGAGGATGGGAGATGTGCTCCCTTTGAAGGCGGTGAAGGGTGCGGGTGTTGTGCGGGCGCTTGAACAGTGGCAACGGAGGCATGGGAAGATTTCAGTATTGGTAACTGATAATGCCTCGTACTATGCCTCTAGATTGGTTGCAAGGTGGTGTGAGACTCAGAATGTGAGCCATCGGTTTATAGCCCCGTACCGGCATCAAAGTGTTGGTTTAATCGAACGGTTTCAGCGGACCTTTGTGGATAGACTACGGAAGCTGAAATATGCACTGGGTGGTTCTTGGACAAAGCATGTCCCGCTTGCACTAGAGGCAATGAACTTTGCAAGGCATAGCACTACAGGTCAGGCACCGGTGGGCCTTTGGCATGCCTCCCCAGGGGAGTTGCAAAGGGCTCAAGAGAGAACTGGAGAGCTTCGAATAGCCCGGAACAAGCGGCGGAGAATTAGACCGGTGCATTTTTATCCTGGCCAGCCGGTGTTGGTGTATGATGAATTGGCAGCGCAAAGGCGAGGTGACAAATTCAGTCCAGTATGGAAGGGACCGTATCAACTAGTGTGCCGAACACAGGGTTCATATTGGAAGGCTCGAAAACTCGGTGATGGTGATGCTCTCACAGTGGAGCCCGGTCGTAGACCAAAACTTGTCTTCCATGAAGATCAGTTACAAGCTTTTGATGCGGCCTATCAGTGGACTGGACGGCAATATTCGCAGTGAGTACTGGGGAATTGATGCTTTCGGAGTTTGCGCAGGGTAAGCTGGTGTGCCCATGTTCGATTACAGTCCATTCTGCTCAAGTAAATGGCCACCACTGTAATCGAGAGAAAACCGTAGAGAAAGGAAAGGTCAATGTGCTCAGCAGAAATCACATTGAACCGCATGACATACGGTTACATTTAGCGGTCATGCAGCTGCTGAATGATCAAGGCAAACGTATGCACACTCAGCTTCTCTCCAGTGCACACGAATTGGTGCATTTACAGCTGAGATGTCCTCCATCTCGCTGTTTTGCAATGCCGCTCATCAGAACCGTCCAGAATGAGCAACAATGACGTTAATTGAAGAACGCTCTACGGGCAGCACGGACGGCTGTGACTGGGCTGTGAACTGGTCAAGGAAAAGGGCGAAAACTAGTCAGCTGGAGCCGCATGCTGACGGGATACAATACAGTTTGACGGTGATGGAATTTGGGTGTACAGAATTGGGTTTAGTATGCGATTATGGTAGATTGTCCAGTACTATTAGCCGGGGAAAAAGAGGCACGGTGTGTGCAGGGCGTGTGGTGATGGACCCTGAGTGAGAGGTTGGCCGGTTTGTAAGGGCCTTTTGAGTGACTTTCAGAGGGAAAAAGGCCAATTCCTGACCCGTTTTGGGGAGACCATGAACCGTAGGGGGTGTCCTTGAATGGACCTGAACTTTTGCAAAAGGTCCTAGGACCTTGATGGGACAGGTACTGGCAGGGTATAGGGGTCCAGTGAGGCGTGATGGGACGTTGGGTGCGGCTGCTAACAGTACTTTGTGGTTTTGCACCTGTACGGGAGACCGCCCTTTTGATATTTCGTGTAATGTACCGTATGTCGGACGTGACCGCGCCCCCCTGCATCTGGTCCCCGCGGGTTGCGCCTGCGCCCCGCCTACGCCCGCTCTGCCCGGTCTGCTCGGCGCGCCGCAACACCCCAGCCTCCCCGACCGTGCAGGGACCGTCGGAAGCCCTCCCTCGCCATGGCCGAAGCATCCCCACGTTCCGCAGGCGGGTCGAACGTGCTCGCATTCGGTGTGGGCGGACCCTCCGGTTCCGCCATGCTCCATGGCGGAGCGGTGCTTTCTCTCCCTCCGGGGATATTTGTGGATCCGTGCACGCAGGGACGAAGGGGCCCGGGCGAGCCTTTGGTCGGCCCGGACGAAGCGGGCAAAGTGGTGCTCGCGTGCCGCAATGGGCTCGGTGGGGCGGAGGCATGGGCCATGGCCTCCGGCTCAGGAACGCCCCTCTTTTGGATCCATTCCGCTTTTGATGCCACAACTCGGTGGCGAGTAAGACACCTGAACGGCCAACTGTTTGCCGTTCACGCCTACTGGATTGCGGCGATCCCCAACGTCCGGTTGGGCGATCGACTTCGGCGGAGTGTATTCGCCGCGAATTGGCGAGGCGAAGGAGTTTGGAGCACCTCCGAGCGAGATGCTTGGATGGCCGCCGAGCGCGACGGCCCGGACAGCCCGCCCGCGCCGTTCGCGTGGGCCGGAGAAGGGTGCGTGGGCGGCCTCGCCGAGGGAGACGGGGGGCTGCCGGTGGGGATGGTGGAGCGCGCCACCCGGGCGTACTGGAGGGTGGTCGCCGCGTCGCGTTGGAAAGCTTACGTAACAGCTGAATGGGAGGTGGAGCTGCCAGGCCCGGAAGGAGGCTGGATGATGCAGGGAATTCAATTGAGGGCACGCATGTCGTACATGGGGGAAAGGGAGGTAGAATGGGTTAGGCAGCCGGGGGACAATACCCACTACGGGACTGTGGGGTGTGATGGGTGTACATGGGATGAAAAATGCATTAGGTGTATTTTTTGTTTGGATAGGGGGATTCCCCCTAATTTGACTTTTCAGGAACCTACAGCACTTAGTTCATCGCAGCGTGAGTGGGAAGAGGATGTACAGCAGTACATTTTCATGGGAGTACTGCCAGGGGGCGCTGACGGGTGTTGAGTAGTGTTGTAGTGCTCCAAAGTGACTTTTTGAATTGTATTGTGTGACCCTTTGGAAGGGGTCAAAGTGGAGAAGGTCAATGGGAAGTTCTGAGAGGTATTGTGGCCTTTTTCTTGATGTGTCTGTTTGTTTATCCAAGGGTCACTGAAGTGTAGTGCCCTTGGAGCTGGCGGGGGTATTTAGGTGGCGGAGGTTGGGTTGTGAGTGCCTCCCCCCCTCTCTCTCCGCCCCCCACCCGTCCGTTTTTGGTTCTAGCGGTCTGAACGGCGGGTGCTCAGTTGAAAACGGTCGTGCTGTGAGTTGTTGAGGTCGAACGTGGTCGAAGGGGAGCAGCCTTGTAACGAACACTTTCGTTTCCGTGTGTCTTTGTCTCTTGACCCTCCGGATCGATTGCCTTTGGGTTGTGCACCGCTGCACATACCCACAGCTCGTCGCCGAGCTCGTTTCCTGCCTCGTTGACCAGCTGACCCGCGTGCGCCCACGTTGGGCGCTGACTTCGTCGACTCAACGACCCGTCTTCATCGTCCGCTGCTTGGCGAGTGAGTGGAGTGCAGCGCTGGACCGCAGGGAACGAGCATCGACGACATCGGTTTGAGACATCTGGAGAATGGTCAGTACGCTCGTCATACTGAGCTACTGAGCGAGGTGTGGAACATCGTTTCGCAGTTTGAGCGTGTATTTTCGTGCCTCTCGTCGAGCTGGTCAGCAGTTGCATGTTTCTCGTTGTATGTGAACGGTTAAGGTGAACTTGAACACGAAGTTCAGCTCTGGGGTTGCGCCTCGCTTCGGCAGCGCTCGACCACACCCCAAGTATCTTGTTGGGCTTGAATTTACTTGCTGTGGTGATTCTCGTTGTCCTGTGAGTGTTTATGAGCTAAGTTGGTAAAAAGTGTAGGAGCGGAATGCTCAGAAATTCTGGGCGATTGACAGGGCTGTGGTAGTGGCTGTGCTTTTGGTGACTCCCATTGAGCGCATATGGCTGATCGGTGAGTCATATTGCTGTTCCAAAGCGTAGACACCCTACTGGCGGTGTTTGTCAGCTGTTTGTAACATCATGGCACTCGAACAACAGTTTATCGCTAACTGCGGGTGGGTAGTGCCTACTGTACTGCGGTACCTACTAGTTACTGCGGTATCCACTGGGAACTGTACAGAGGAATTCCGCAAAGAGAACATTCTTGCGGGAGACGGTGCTCGACAGACGCCTCTTCATAAAAGGTGGTGGGGACGTAGGCGGGGCTTCTTAAGGGAGGGTACTGGAAGGCCCATTTGCCCTCGGATAGTCGTGCGGTGACTTGCAGTGCCAATAGGGTCATGCAGAGCTACGTGTACTACGAAACTTTTCGTTGCAGGGCCATGACCAAGGCGTCGCTGGTTGTTCAGGAAACATCGCACATCACACAGCATGTGACGACGTCATTTGGCGCAAGTCAAATAGCAAGCGAGAACCCCTGAATGGGCTCTGTCGACTGTCCTTCAAGAGGTTGACGATGCTCTTCGCGTCTAGGACCAGCCGCGGGCACGCCCCGCCGTTCGGAGCGCAGAACCCGAAACAAATTATCCACACAAGAAATGCTGTGCACAAAGATACTTTATTCAGCGTCGGTGGCGCTTCCGAATCCTCACCGCGCCCGCTCTCAAAACCCCCACCGACAGCCCCCGGCGGCGCCAACGCCCTGGGCGCCCTCGCCGCTAAAAATCTCATGCCACGGTCTATGACCCTGCAGCGCGGCCTATCCCAAAAAGAATGTCCCCCCAAAAAGCACACCCACACAGAGACGCAGACGCACACCAAAAACGAGCTCGCTTTCCCGCCCAACGGGCCCTACAAAAAGGGGGGGAACGCGCGCTCTTGTTCCGGCCCGGCGCTTCACAGGCCAGCCGCGCAACCTATGCTCAAAAGAATCAAAGAAGAGGTTATGGTTCATGTGGTTTCCGTCGTGCCAACCGCGGCCCGAAATACAATCGACACACACGCGTGCCGGCCGCCACTCGCGCTCTCACAGTGTGTCACACTGTGTGACACCTTTTCAGGAGCAGTGGCACCGGCAAGTACTGTAAAGCACTTGAGCCTGATACCACTTTTCGCAGAAAAGGGCTACCCCCGCCGCTCTGGTATCCAACCGGCGCCTAAAAGAACTGGACCAGCTCCTCGAGGCTGTCGACAACAATGTCCGCGTGGGGCTCCAGGACGTCCCTGGGCAGCGACGTGCTGACGCCCACAGCGAGGGCGCCTGCGGCCTTTGCGGCGCGCAGGCCGTGGATGGCGCCCTCGACGACCATGGCCCTGGAGGGGTCGCTGCAGCCCAGGCGCGTGAGGGCCTCCACGAACATGTCCGGAGCCGGTTTTCCCCGAGCAACCTGGTCACACACGCGCACGCGCATTCATTCCCCCTTCTTCGGCCGTGACACATTCTGATGGGTCATGTATTGCGGGTATAGCGCGGACAGGGACGCGTGCACCTCTGTCACAATGCCATGTGCGTGAAGTCTTCTTCTTTGGTCGCTATGCGCTTGAAGTGGTGTGCACGTTATGCACACACGCTTCGTCCAGAGACGCTTTCGAACGCGCTGTTGATTTTATTCGTCGCAATCAAGATTGTAGTCAATTAGATGTTGTTGAGTTTGTGTGCACTATGTAAACGTGCTGTCCATTTCATTTGTTTTGGTGTCCTCATCTTGCTTGAACTCCCTTGAGGGAGACGCTGGCCTTGCAGCAATGGACACTTGGACACAGACATTGGTGAGCATTCAAAGGCACAATCGCTAAACGCGCCAGTACGTTTTGCATGGGCCGGAGGCGCGTACAACAGCTCCCCCTTCCCTTTGCACGTCAAACCTCACATCAGTGTCGGTTGTGCTTGAGTAACATACTTCCAAGGTACAACACAGCACTCCAATACATGGATGCGGCATCAGCGATGCCGGCCCATCCAAGAGGGTCTCAGCGCCCAAAATGATAAATAAAAACATACGCAAAATAAATCTATACATTAATTTTAGTAAATGACAGGCGCCCTACGCAACCCAGATAATGAGGCAGCGCTTGGCCGCCTGAGCTCAACTGCCATCAGAGCAGGCCGGAGCCACATCAGCCTGGTAGTCAAATGCTGGAAGCGAAAGCTCCAAATTCAATTAGACCGGAATGGAACAAACTTCATCATCATCATGATTTTTTACAGAACAAGGCAATGAGGTAGCCGTCAGCTTCCTATTTTGCCTGAGCAAAGCAGAGTCGGTGATTGGTTCATTGGAATCTAAGGAGAATACAAACTAAATGTATGATCTATGGAACAAACTTCACAAAGGCGTGAGGAAAAGTAACGTCAAAATCAACAATTGTCTTAGACGTTGCCATACCAGCAAGCACAACAAACAACAAAAGCGCATGCGCCAAAGGGCCCGTCGTTCTGCCCAACGCCAGGAAGCAAGACACGCGCGCGCGCACCTGTTGACCGCTGACGACCGCGCATCCGTGTATCAGCCCCTCCAGCCCCGCAGCCTTCAGGCCGTGCATGACGCACTCCGGGGCGCAGGACGACCCAACCCCCACGGGCACCCCGCCCCGCTTGGCCGCCTCCACCAGATCGACGACGCCCGGGAGGGCTTCGATGCCATCGGAAGTTAGCTCCCGGTAGATGGGGCCCATCTCGGCCACGGCCCGCCTCGCGACGTCGTCGACGTTCCACGCCGTCCTGGGCGCGCACATGGCCCCCCCCACCGTCAGGAATTTAAATTTGATTTTGAAAATCAGTTTGAATTTAAGCTAAATTTAGACCACATTAGCCATCATGTTAATTTCCAGTTAAATTTGAGTTTGAATTTGTAAAGTTTGGTGACTGGCTGCCTGTGCCGTGAGGGGCAGCAAAGGTACACGAGAGTGTGGAAAAGTGTTGGGCTGGTGGAGATGAGCGCGGCGATCGATCCACTGATCAATGATAAAAATGGATGGGAAAGTATGCGTTGAAGTGCATGGGAACAAATGCTTGCAGACAGGAGCACATCGATATGAATTGGTTCATATTGGAATTTTCGGCGGAATCGGGGCCATTTAGCTTCCCCGGTGCAGTGAACCCCTCTGCTGACCTCGAATGCAAAGAAATTTGTGGACGGACACTGAGATGGAAATCAACAAAAATATGCATATCCTGAGAATCCAACACTATGTGAGCAATTTACGCGAGACTGGAAAAAATGCTCACCTGATGCGCTCGAGCTACCAGCACTCCAGGACGGAGGCCCACCGGTAGAAAACAGCCTATTTGCCATGCTGACTGCGTTGCCATTTGACGGAAATTGATGCCATAACAGGCCCTTTTCTGCCATCGCAATCGTTGAGATAGCATAATTTGTGCCAAAATGGCATCGCAGCTGGCATCGCAAACATGGCGTTTTCTACCAGTGGCCCCTGCCAGCATTCAAACCCAATAACGGCAAAGCGCGGGCTCACCTGTCAAATTTGTCCTTGTAGTGCTGCACGCAATCCCGCAGATCCATGCCCCAGACGTCCAGGTAGTCCTGCGGGTACTCGTGCGGTGCGTCAAAGCCCGTCACCGACAGGATGCTCAGGCTGAGGGCAATGCAGGCGGCCTTGGCGCTGTCCACCATCACACCTTCGCAGTCCAGAACGAGGCAGTCGAAGCGCCTGCCGGCCGGGCCGGCAGCCCCTGTGGCTGCAGGGGGCCGCGTGGCATCCGTCCCTGCACACACGCCGAGGTTCATGGCCACAGGCTGGGGGATGCTGTTGGGCACAGAAAGCAGATTTCTTGTTCTCACTTATTTATTCACTTCTTTCATCGAAGTATTTATTTATTTATTTGTCTTAATTAATCAATTCGTCTATTTATTTGCTTTTCCATCTACCTTCTGTTTGTTAGTTTTGCATTTCAACTTCACCATTGCGAAGGAAAGTCTGGGAAGCCAGAGCGGCCCCCCCGGTGGCAGGAGGAGGAGAGGAACCCCCCCCCCGATTCGCTGCAGACTCTGCCTCGAGAAATGACAGCCAGCGTATCCTCAACCACACATGCGGTGAAAACATAAACGACGACAGGTCGAAGAGCAAAACTACAAAACCCAAAACTAACGGCTGTCATGCTCTTGGATGCGAGCCCCAGGCATTGTACCTCGCTGTTGCGGCACGGGCGATGGCACCTGGTCGCCGATTTTCGGGCTGCCCATCCCCGGCGCCCCGAGCCTCGGGCTCCTCAGCCAAGGCGGCACGGTAGGCTGCACGATGTCCAGACTCCTGACGCGGAGCTTGAATGCAGGCACGTACCAGGTCCCCTTGTCGTCTTGCATGCCTGGGGTACAAGTTCATCAAATCAGCACAACATAAATATCGGATCAAGAAAAAGTTCGAATCAATGTTGATGGGGCGAACGCACCCTCAGTCGCGCCGATCAACACGAGCGGTCGCGGTTGATCTTTTGGGATCGCCGGGAGGGGAGGTGGCAAGGGAGATTGCCATTACAGTAGCGAAACGGAGACGTGCAGGATCGGAAATGGAGACCTGGAAACGGAATTGGAGAAGCGGGGTGAAGGCTTTTGGGCTGGTCGCTGGTACAAATATCCAGGCAGGGCGGGGCACAGGGTGCCGTTCACACAGCCGTGCGGGGAGGAGGTTTGTCGCACAGGGCGATTGCCCCGTGCAAGAACTGTCCATTGTGGACTGCCGTTCTCTGTTGAAGCTCAAGGCTTGGGTGCTGCCTTTTCAATATGGGGGAAATTGGGAAGGGCACATCCCGGGCGGTACCAATCAACAAAAAACTGCCATGCAACTCGTGTCCAGGGTCAGTGCATGCGTAAACAAACACGAAAGAAAGGCTTCCTACTAACACATTTGGTCCACGGTGGCGACATGGGCATGAACTTGAACAGGAACATGATACTGCCTAAGGCACCTGACAGGCAATGACAGGGTCAGTTCCATCCGCTTGGTTTGCACGTAAAAAAGGAGTGCGGGGACCTGTGCGCACTGGCCTGCACTTGAGGTGGGTGCACTTGTGCCTGTGCATCGTTCCAGAGTTTCGCAATTCCCTACCTGCCCAACTGAACGATCCCAGGCTGGTGCCACACTGTGGGCAGTGCAGTTTCCCATCCACGCTGCCTGAAACCCCTTCCATCCACCTCACGGGCTCGACAAACAGTGACGTGTCCTCGCAGGGCTCCTGGAAGAGGGCGGCCTCATCTTCCTTTGTGCAGGACAGGATGTGCAGGGATGTTGCCAAGAGGCAGCCGCAAGGCCGACACCGGTACAGATTGTCCCCCTGGGTTGATGACAGAGGAGCATCTCACTATGGGCACGGAATGCTGAGCAGATGTGCGACCGCTGGAGGTGCGAAAGTGACAAGTGAGCAGCACATTTGTGTGCCCTGTTGTCAAGGGCGCAAACTGACGTGCAAACAGATTTACCATTGTTGACTTGCACATGGTATAATGTCGCCATTGCACTTTCAGTTTATGGAGTACCATGGACCATACTTCAATTTGCTGCCATGTAACTGATTGTGCAAGATCTGGTCGAACCGTGGTGAATATACTCTAGGTGCGTGTGCCCAGCGAGATTGCACGCGAGTCCTCTCGTGGGCCACCATGCCAGAAACACATCAAGATGGCTGCACACTGCTCTGGCGCCGATTGCCCATAGACACATGCTGGCACAGCATCTGCAAGGTGCTGGCAGTTTCAGGGGGGTGCTCACCACCAGAGCATGGGGGCCATCCTCCTCGTCCCTTGGCAACACCGCAAACTGCATCTCGCTGAGGATGGCCGACCCGAACTTGTACTGGTTGTTCTTCTGCCTCAGCTTGAACATCTTGTAGTCGCTGTTGTAGGGGTCGATCCGGTAGCCCATGGCGTGGAACAGGCGCAGCTGTTGCACGAAGGACGGGTTGGGACAGGCGATGGGATATCTCTTTCGCACCTTTTTGAGGGCTGCCGACCTGGAAAGAGAGTCTGTGGCCATGACATAGGCAGTGACGACCTGCGGTGCAGGTGCAGAAAATCAACGGCAGGAGGTGCAGCAGAGGTGTGCAGAAGGAGGTTGAATTTGGGGCATTTCATGGTACCCATCCTCAAGGAAATCTGTTATGTGCCTTTCCTTTGACGGCAATGTCTGACGGCTTTTGGCCATCTTTCGGGGCAAAAAGCACAACCAGTTGCAAACACGTACGTTGCTGTGTAATACGTTCTCGCAAAGGTTGTCCCTTAGGGACAAATTGTGGCCCTTGTACCTGCAAAGCCCATATGGGGCACAAATCCTTGTGCAGACTGTCCCAAGATGGATGGCCATGAATGCCAGAATGCAAAAATGAGACCCACTCGACCTGTCTATGGTGTGTTCTGTGAAAGTGCGACATCTTGTTGGTAGTGGGAATGAAAGATGCCTGGACTGAGAAGCCAGCAGCATGAAACCTGCTACAGCCTGCAGGAAAGGCCAGTATCAGGCAGCATGCAGCACAGCTCCACAAAACGAAAACACTGCTGAACAAATCGGGAGATTGCAAAACATCTGCATCCATGTGGATTGAGTGCATGATGATATGAATACGTTTTCTGGATCATGTGCATGGTTTGTTGGATTTAAATGCGTTGAGAAAATTTGGGAGACATTCGCTCACCGTCGAGCTCCTGGAAATGCCAGCATAGCAGTGCACAAGCACGTGGCCACCAATGGTCAACGCATCTCCGATGAACTCCACGCAGGTGGGCAGGTGGATGAGCAGGTTCCCCGTGAAGTCGTCAGGAACGTAGATGTGCTTGTGGGTGATCTCGCCGTGCAGCTTGTCCACCAAACAATTCATGACCGTCTGGGCCAGCCACACGCGGTGCTCACCCACTGGATGGCCGAAGATGCTGGCCAGCCCACGCCCCCGCACAACGACACGACCACGAGCACACCCACCATGCCCGCCCATGGACGCAATCAGCGCAAATCGCCATCAGCGCTCCTCAAAATCAGAGATTGGATGGCGATCAAATAGATCAGGTTCCCACCCCGCAGCAACCGCTTTCCAACCGTGCACCGTGCAGAGCGGCAACCCCGCCGAGAGGCGCAGCACCGCCCGGCTACGGTACGCGTATCGCAACGGTATCCCGGATCGCGCCCTGAACAAACTGAGTCCCCGTCCCCCGGGGCCGATCCCCCCCCGGCGCACCAGCACGTGCGTGATCCTCCTCTCCCTGAGCACCTCCCTGTCCAGCGCCTCGATGCTGCCTATGTACAGGCCTGCGCGGCGCCGAGCACAGCATCCGGTCAGCCGGGCTGACCCGGGGGCGGCCAGTCGGGCGGGGGGGCAGCTACCCCGAAGCGCTGATCGCCGGCCAGTCTTGCCGCGAGCATCGGCACGAGGGCATCAACCTCGCTGCCCCCCGCGACCCACGCGGCCCCGCCCGCCGCCACGCGGGCCCCCCCATTCCGCCCACGCGGGCGCCCCACCCTCCCGCGTACGACGCAAAAGAAAGAAAATGAGCAATCCGCCTAGCGATGCCGAAACAATCGCGCCATGCATGCCCTCGCTTCCTCAGGGCCATTGTACGACGCCCCTCGCGGCGGCCCGGGCGCCGCCGGGCCGCGCCTGGCCGGCGCCAGGCCCCTCGCGAGTCTGCACCAGCTCGGGGCCATCGCCAAAGCGCCTCGCATGGCCCTCCCTCGGCACGCACCCCGACAACCAACCCTGCCATTCAACCCGTCCACGCCCCGAGACAGCCGCCGGACGCCATTTTTCACGCCCCTGCACCTGCCAGAAATCCTGAAAAGTCTCCAAGGCGTCCTCCGTAAACATCTTAGGCCCCGCAGGTGGGAATCGCCTCTCCTCCTAATGCCACCCACCTGGCACCACTTCCACTGCCATCTGGCCCACTCTCAAGCGAAATCTGTCACTCGGGCTTTCCTTTTCCTTCCCTGTCCCACCCGGTCGGGCTCGGCAACTCGCCGGGGGCCCCGCCGCCCGACGATGGGTGACCTTGTGGCGTGCCCCACCTGGCCGGTGTTTCGACTCGCTCGTCAATTTCTGGGTCCCCTGGCGCCACCCTCGGCCCGCCGTGACTAAGGGTCATCACGGTCGTACCCAAGGGATCAGGGGCCAGGTGGGCGAAGCCGAGACCCCACGTGACCGCGGGGCCCCGCGAGACATATCGGACCCTTCGTACGGGCCATTACGAAGGCGGTACGGGGGATGTACAGTGCCACGTGGGGGCCGTGGCGTCAAGGGCGCATTTCGCCGTTTCTGGCAGCCTCCAGGGGGGGGGGGGGATTGCTGTGCGAGTTTTTTGCGCCGGGCCAGGCGGTCGTTCGGCCAATCACACCCTCGCGCTCTGGGAAGGAACTCGGCGCTAATCTCCATGCGTCCCCGGCGGCTTCCAGTCCCTCGCGTCTCCGCGCCCAGGTCCTGCGGGCGTCCGGCCAATCAATCGTCCCCGTGGCGGGCATTCTCCAGCTCGTCCCAGATTAAGAGCAGCGCGAAGCCGTGCACAGCGGGCGAAGCAAGGTTGCAGTCTCGCAGCACGTCATCCGCGGATACGCAGCGACTCCGTTCACACCGTCCGCACACTCACGTCTGTGCACAACGTCCCGTCCGCCCACACGTTCGTGCACAGCGTCTCTTCCTGCCACCAGGCCGAGCAGAACACCTGGGCGTATCATCACAGTAGTCTCGCGTTTCTGAAACGCGGGACTGGTCTATATCTCCGTGTTGCCCAACGCCTTTCAACCTGCCCAACGTCTTCCCAGGAGGGGGGTGGGTGGGAGGGCGGGGGAGAGGGGGGTGGGTTGGAGGGGGGGGGGAGAGGGCGGGGGGGCCGACGCCGCGGCCATTTTGCTGTGCGCAAAGTCCAGATGGGGCTGGGATGAGACCCCTTCCTTGGCGTCAATCCTCATGCCGATGTCACATCACGATCCATGGGCCAATGAAGAGTCCTCATTGAGGATGGGTCGGAAACCTGACCTGATGCCACCTCACATGTGAAGTGATTCGCGTCCTTAGAGGGCGCAAGTGTGCATGCTTTCGGCAGGCCCCCAGGGCAACCCGCGACCAAACGGCTGGTGTGCGTTTGGATTGGGCACTTCACCCAGTTCTTGTGACTACGGCCGCTTATCACCGTGGATTTTCTATGATGGATGATGCTCGGGGACTGCGTTTTCCACAGGGTCCTTTGCCCTGCCGCGATTCTGTGATGGCGATGGAGCAGTGACAGCCAACGCAAGAAAATTGACGAAGTAGACACAAGCTCGAAAATTCCCAAGTGGGATGCGACTTAGCCGCGCACATCTGCGGTCACCCATGAACCGGTCGGTGTATTCCTGACCCGGTTTGATTGAAAATCGATCTGCGTACGCTTTCTGGAAATCGGCGGTCAAGGTCGTGACTGTCAAGTTCAGATTTTTCCAAAAGAACCAGTAGGGTAGCTGGGGGCCACCTGCGGGCGCCGCGCCTCATAAGCCTGACGACACACCCCACAACGCGGGGCTTTGATCAGAGGACCTCCCCACTCAGTTAGAAGATCACCAAGGACACGATCGACAGGCAGACGTGCTGGTGGTACTGCGACCACTCGGCAGACGATAGCAGTCAAAAAAGGGGCACTTAGGTGGTTAGGCACGCCAGAAAAGCAGAAGAAAGGACACGAAGGAGCATGCACTTTCTGTACACAGGAAAAGGGGAAAGGAAAAGGAAAAGAAAGAAAACGTTGTGAATAATTGTTCAAGCCCCCAACTCCCCTCCCCTCGTCTGATGGGAAACCCCTCTTTCGATAAGGGTGCATCTCCAAGAGCTACGTAAATTGTGGAGCACTGAAGGTTGCACCTTCGACGCACGTCGACCAGGCATGCACAGCAGTGCGACCACTTTCGGGCCGGTCTCAGGGGTGGCGATGCGAGGAGGGCGCACCGCACACAACAGGACTTCGGCCAAAATCAGCCATTAGGCACAATTTCACTTGGTGCAGTATTCATGCCGAATGGCTCTGAATGAATTTTGGTCACGTGAACGCATTCAAATAGACTCAAACGTGCAGTCGTAGCTTTGGTTTTGTGCCACGTTCCACGCCATCTAGAGAACTCTGAGGCTCGGCATCATGAGTTTGGACACGACAAGGCCAGGAGGTAGCCGTCGGTTTTCTACTTTACCCGAGCACAGCAGTGTCCATGATTTGATCATGTCTTAAGACTCGTTCATATCCTAAGATTCGGACGATCTTGCTGCAGCGTTATTGGCCCTCGAGGTTGCGCAACGGTCGTGGCGCGGCCATCCACCCATCCCGCTTCCTCGGGCAGGCCAGGGAGCTCATTGCGATCAGCTGGAGGCGGCGGCTGTCCCTCCTCGCAGTCATGCGCAGTACTCCCAAACTGGCGTCCGCCCGCCTCCCCCCCTCGCCCCTTCACTACAACGGTGGGGGCGCTTCGGCGCCCCGTGCGACGGGTGCCACTGTATTGCACTGCGCCGCTGTGCCGCCGCGGACGTCACAATCACGCTCCAGAAACCGCGGATGGTGGGACCCAAGGGTCCCCCGCGGCTGTGTTCCCCACCGTTCTTGCGACCCGCACGCCGCCGAGGGACTGCACTGGCAACGTCCAACGGTCAGCCCCTGCCCCCCCCCCCCCCCCCTTCCTTGCCCTCAGGGCCGCCCAGAGAAACCCCTTGAGCCACATGCCCCTCTCGCCGGGACCCCTCTGGCGGTCTTCTTTAACGATACGCAGAAAGTTTGGTTTGCAAGTTGTTGAGCCCGGACTTCGTGCCGCTCGATCGCCTTTGCCCCCCCTCCCCACCACCACCAGCACCACCACCCAGAACGGGAAATGTGCACGCGTCAATAAGGTAAGTCAGATTCAGGCCCTGAGTGTGACTTGCCTTCTCGACAGCAAACAATGGAACGTGGTGGCGGTGGGCGGTGGTGCGGCGAGAGTGGCAGTCAACGGTCTGTCTCATGGATCGGTGAACGCCTTGGTTGCGCCTGCGATGGCTGCACTCGGGCATTCCCGCGAGATGAGCGCTCCCCTGAGATCCGCTTCCCTGAACTTTTGCTGAGTTCGCACCCAAGAGGATCACGCGCCCAGATGTGCTCTCCTCTGAGTTTCCACGCCCCTGACGTTTTGCCAAGTTTGCACCGAGCGGTGGGCGCAAGAGGATCGCGTGCCCTCTCAAGGGCATCCGGCCCCCCTCGCTGCCGTCACAACGCGGAAGGCGCGACAGGCAAAAGGGCGCCGAGGCGCCGGCCCCGTCGGACCGCTGGCTAGGATTGTCGACGGCGTTTCCGCTGCCCTTCAAGGGATGGCTGGAAAGGATGGCCGGGAATTTGCCAACCAGCCCCTCTGGAACTGAAACCTCGGCGCCGGGGAAGGGAGATCGCGCCAGCCGAGCCAGTCACGTCGGATCCCGTGTGGGGAACCTCGATGGGGCCTCCCTCGCGCATCAAGCCCTTTGATCGCCCCGAGGGAGGGTGGCGCGGCGCCGTGGGGCGGGAAGTGAGAGGGTGTGGGAGTGGGAGGGGGAGGGGTGGCCGATGGTTGTGGGGGGGAGTCAGATTTGTTGAGAAACGGAAATACAAAGGGCCGGCCCTGCTGAGCAAGCGTGCGCGGGGCGCGCCTGCTGGGGCTAAGTCGGAGGGTGCCCGGTGCGCACCTAAACGGCCCGCGCAGGCCACATAATTCCCGTGCGGGAGCTTAGACGGGGAACGCACACGCAAGCTGTGCATTCCACGCACGCAAGTGCTTCTGTTTGAGTGAAGTTGCGCACCAAAAACGACCAATCTCTGACACCGGAGCTTGGCGCACGGTCGCAAGTATCCATCCCCCTGGGACACAGAGGGAGTGCCCACCAAAGGGCGCCGACCTGTTGCAGCGGATGGGCGACCAGCCGTGTTCCGTGGCTCTGATTGGGCGCGCCCACGCCTCGGCGCACCCCCTGCCTGGGCGTCTGCGCGAGGGAGGGCCAGTCCGGTGGACAGCGCCTCCTCCAACGAGGACGGCGGCCTGGAGGCAGGGGCAGAGGATCGGCGGCTCTGCCTCCGGGTTCCAAAACCCGGATCCACCATCTGCTTCAGCAGTTCGCACAGGCACGCAGAGGAGTGCCCTGTGCCGCGAGAGACGTGCGGTGGGCAGTCGAGTAAAGTTGCAACACCAGTGCACGTGGCGGCTCCAAACACAGGGTCGCGCCCGCATCCCTCAGAGTGCTGAGCCGCTCGGGGCGGCCGCAAGTCTGGTCGCCGCTGTGGAAGAGACGCGCGCCGTTGCGAGTGCCCGGAGAGCGGTGTGGCGAGGGTTAATTGGCGGAGCGGGCCATGGCCGTCCCTATAGGTGATCGGCGTTGGTGGTGCTTGCACGCGTCCCGCAATACGGTACGTACCGCTGCCGCTGCCGATTCCGATTATCATGTACCGCTGCGCAACTCTTGCCGAAGCAGCAGTCATGTCGCCACGAGTCGTGAGCTTTGTCGCATGTTGGCGTGCTCTGAGCGCAGACCAACTGCCAACTTTCGCCCTTTTAGAGATATGCATACTAGATCTAGTAGATCTGCTAGTATGCTGCATACTGGTATACCAGTATACTGCATACTTCTAAAAATATGCACATTATCTATTGGGAGGTGTCGGGATTGGCGTTTGGTGCGCATTGAACGCTGGTCGTTAGCAGGGAATTCAATTCGCTCGGCCCAGCCCGGCGTTGTCCGAATTCAGGTTGCTCAATCAGAACTTTGCTGGAGGCCTTGGTCGGAAACTTGTCAGACACAACCAAAGTGTGAGGGACGGCCTGGAGCACGTCGTTTGGCCTCACGGGGCTCACTGCACTCCAGCGCACCCGTGCATTGGCGACCGCACCGGGACTTGCCACTGGGAATTTCGCACTTTTGAATCGAGA